GTAACGATGTCCATTACATGACGTACGAAGGCTTACCACGGGGTTATCGGAATCGTATGCCGGTGATCCAACGTCTGGTTTGCCCAATTCAACTGTCTAAAGCCCATGACTACATTCCTTCGGTATTCAGCGTGGTCAATCTACGAATCCTTCCCATCCGCCTTCTCAAATGAGATGAGATTTCTGCCAATTTAAACTTCCACATGACACCAAACGTTATAATAACCTGCTCTGGAGACGTTTCTTTAGATTATATGAATGAAGGCCTCTTCGATTAAAGTGTTGCCTTAATCTATACATGATCCTCTCTCATTTGCTTGCAAGTAAGTAGCATCAGAAGCCTTGATAAATAGTTGCCAACTTCTATGCTTTGTCCTAATTAATTGCTGTTATATGCAAAGATTTTTCATAGACTTCCCACTTCTTTATCCTATTGACTAGTGCCTTTCAGAAGCAAGCTTCTTACTACCATTAATTTCATATAACATAATTTAACTCTATAAATATGATTAGAAATGAAATTAAGAAGGATTCCCACATTTGACCATTTCTACCCAAGGTTCTGCCTACTTTACCTACGAGAACGTCTTGAAAGGGCAAAATATTGTCCTCTTTATTCGTCCTACCTAATTCATTCATTAACCCAAGTAATTATTCCAAACGGTCTTTGCTATAGCGCCAGATAGCAATGTGGCCGTCCATACATCTGACCAATAACTTAGGAACTAGTAGTACCTTTTGAATTATCCGAAACGCAAATGAGCCACGTAGTTGTTCACCAAAATAGGATATATATAAAAATCACCACAACCAAAAAGTCGTCAAAGCATTAGTAAATACTTTAAGAAGACTAGATTAAACGCAATTATATGAAAGATGTCTGGCTGTTATCCCACCCCATCTTAATATCCAGTAGGCTTTTGTATATTTTTATATGAAGGGAAACATATCTTAGGTGACAAAGATGTTAACAGTAAACGGAAGACTACGGGATAGCTAACTAAAGACAAAATAGCTGACATATATGAGATTTATTCACCCTATTTCAATTAAAGTGATAAAGAGACTAATACCTTAAACGAAATCTGGTGAATACAACTCACATATATGATCTATGTGTAGTCGCGAATGCTTACTTATAAACGAAATAAAAATACCTCGAAACTTGAAAAATAGGAAGAAGCATGTAGGAACAATAGAAAGAAGCATGTAGGATCGATTAAACTTGAAGCTGGATATGGCTCTCAACCCACATAACTCAAGAGGATTGCAAATATAAAACACACGTGCAAGCGAACTCGAGTATACCCATGTACATTTCATTGTTATCAATCCGTGCATCTCCTTAGGCAACCTCGGTTGAATCCAGTTGAAATTCAAGATCTACTGATGGCCTCAATAGTAATGAGCTACTCAAGAAGACAGACATCCACTTCACACGCCATCCGCAGACACTTCACTCATTCACAAGCATATGGGGAAGCATGAAATGGCCAACCAAGTCATGTGGTTCCTCATGAAGTGGACAAGGTGTGGCATTAAATTGTAGGGAGGATCACAGCCGACCAATAGTCTTTTGTATGGGCAGGGTGAATTTTTTTTAGAACATGGCTTACTGATCTTATGATGCCTGTCAGACGAAAGCTTAGTTTCGCTTCGACAAATTGTACGGAGTGACAGGGAGACCTTTTGATTCGGCATAAATCATGATTTATTTGGTAATCTGGGATCGAAAGTTGTATGAACGAGTATAGAAAATAAAATTATAATTGTTTGCTATGATTTTAGCGAACTATCTTAATTGAGAAGTGGTTTCATCCATTTTTTTCAATTTTGATATGTTGTCAGAATGATTTAGTTGGACGCATCTTGTCGTCTGTTATATTAGTTGTGATTCCCAGCGTCGGACCTTAGATTTGGTACATTCTCATTTTGACGGGATGCAGCGAACGACTATGCCGACTACGAAGTCAGTGAAACGACTGGGGATGTACCAAGTCATCGGTTCTATGCCCGTGACTATGTGGTGAATTGGTAGCATCGTCAGGATACTCTCGACCTAGGCTCGAATTCATTTTGGGTACTGATGAGACAAGTTCAGGCAAGGTCGAAGCTGCAGTCCACGTCAGCCAAAATGGAAATGCCTTTTAGGTGTTGAAGTTAAGGGAAATTTAATGACATGCTTATGGGAAATATTCAACTATCATTCTTTAAATTGCCTTAAGCCAAGTGGGTTGACCTCGTTTTCCCAATTTGGTCGTGCTATCAGCGTGACTTAGTTGGACGTACCTTGTACGAAGTCCTTTGCTATGGTAGTTATCATAAGTCCCAGTGACGAATAATCACAACCATCACAGAAATTAGTCATTATAGCCAAATTGACTACAGAGGCAGCATGCGACCAGAGATAAACGTCTACAGTTTACTCAGGGTACACGGACAGAATCATGAGGATGAACCGTGGAGGCAATTCCTGATATCAGCAGGCATGGGAATCACAACCTAGGTGCTTTGACCCGGTGAGGTGACATTGTACATGCTACTAAAGACTTGCGAAATAGCGCCTGAAGTGAAACCTACATTGGGACTGGAACTGAGTGAAATCACTTAACCGAAAAGATAAGAAACAGATTTTCGTGATCTTGAGAAAAATCTGGATAGGAGGCTCATATCCTATCAACAAATAGAGAGGAAGGGAGGCAAGCTAAGCATAAATTGTGATGATGCCACATTAAACTCGGCAAAAAGGGCATGCCTTTTGAGTAATGTAATAGAAACAAGTCAGAAGTTGTGATAGGGCGGGGGTGAGATAAGAAGTTCAGCACAAGACAGATGGGCCAGGACAGAAAGAGGAGTGATAGAATAACCATTTCACCAGAAAGTTGGTCAATTGATTGACTTCACTTGTCCCTTTGACGAGTTATTGCTTGGCGCTGAGAATGAGAAGACTCTCTAATGATGCCGACTACGATGCCCGCGCAACATCTGTGAATGTACCAAGTCGACGAATCTTTGCTGGGAATTATGATAGCTACTGTAGCCGAGGATTTCGGACAAGGTGCGTCTACATAAGTTGCCCTGACAACACTACCAAGTTGCGAAAACGAGGTCAACCCACTTCTGCACATCGACAGGAAAATGCGGCCATACCGAAGGTCACACCATTTTGGTCTTCATATCTTAGATTATCCTAAGGAAGCTATTTCAATCAAGTCTCATTTAAAAATCTCTCCGAATTTACCAAAAATTATATCACTTTACTATTATTGAAGGATATCAAAGTATTGCTAATTAATAGTAATTAATTTAATCACTATTTAATTAACTTGATTAATTATTAATTATTCTTTTGAAGACTCGCCTTATAGTGAAAAATATTTTTGCCTCTGTGTGTGTAAGTTTCGATCTGGTACAGCAGCCCAACTAATGTCATGTTTTCGGGAGAATGTTGTCATTACGAGTTAAGTGGCCAGGTGGGCAATGAAGTTAAGGGGAGTGGGCGGAGCGAATGAGCTACCTCAGCCAAATGACCCGACTGCGGTTGGGACATGTGGTTGGGCCAAGGTCGTGACCGGGTCTACATGCCGAACCGGACGAGGGCGCCTGGTCCACTCGGTTCCGGCAGATGCGCACGCCCCGTAGTATTTCAGGAGGGTTAGTTGGGCGGAGAATAAAGTGGTGGTACAGGCCTGTCGTAGGGTCCATTTGGTGATGACCTGGCGAGGTCATGGCAGCCGGCCCCTTCGCGACGGACAGGCATGTGCGGCCTTAGATCGGTAGGGGGACGAGCGTAAATCACAGAAACGAGGCCCGCCCCTCCAGCCACGAGAGAGGTCGAGTTCGGCGAGCCGGATGCATTGATGCCTGAATGAAGCTGTTTCGGATCACGGCAAGCCGACCGACGTCGTGGCCACCCTCTTCGCAACTTCCCTTCGTCTCCGATTCACTACGGCGTGTTTACGATCGCCACCTGGCGCCAGGCTTGACTGACCTCGTGACGGGTTTGACAAGCGTTTACCTCGTCTCGTACCGACATGAAGTAGCCGACTTTGTGTATGAAATGAAGATGCTTTTCGAAGAATAGCAGAATAATTTAATTTGGATTGACGTTTCATTTATTTTTTAATTTAATAAAACGCTACTCATCCCTGATCTCACGAGGTGATGAAGGATTAGTGGCAGAATTTTCCTACAATCATGTGAATGGGTTCTATAGTGCCAGTAAATTTCACCGAATTTTGCCTATTAAAGGTATTTTCATTACAGCTGGACTGGACGACAGTTTCAACCTAGCACGAGTCAAGCCGCAGGTTAAATATAGCAACTTCATCAAATATTTTAAAAGGCGAATTGTGTGGCTTTATGCAAATAGGTGTTGATGGCATCTGGACGTATACCAGTAGTAAGTAGTTTTCGATATTATAAGTAGTTAAAAATAAATAGGTTAATATAATCACAAAAATAATGATACTAGTAAGTAAATAATAAATAAACAAGTAAATAATAAATAAACAAGTAAATAAAAACTTTATTTCTTCTAGCTCACTTGAGGTGAAATCAAAATTTTCCCACAAGGAACTGAGTAGGTCTCATAATGCCATTGAATTTCACTCAGCATTGCCTCCCAAAATGTATCCTTTCTCCAGTTTGACTGAACTGCATTTTTGACCTCGCCTGGGCCAAACTTCATGTAACATACTTCTAGTGAACCACAGATTTTAAGTGATGACAACATCTGGACATATATTCATAGTGAGTATGTTTTGATGTTATAATTAGATAAAAATAAATAAGTAAAACTAGCAAATAAATAGTAAATAATAATAAATAGCGAATGAATAAATAAATAAATAAATTCGTTTTCGCAACTTGGTCGTATTGCCAGAGAGACTTAGTTGGACGTACTTTGTCCGAAGTCCTCGTCTATATTAGTTATCATAATTCACTACGTAGTAGAGTGGACTTTGTACATCACCAGACGTTTCGCGGGCACCGTATTCGGCATCATCAGTGAGTCTTGCCATTCTCAGCACCATGCTACAACTCGTCAAAAGGAGTTTTCTCTTTATAATAATTATTTATTAAAGAAACTTGTGTCTCTGGCGAGTTGTAGCTTAGTGCTGAGAATGGCAAGACTCACTGAGGATGCCGAATACGGTGCCGGCGAAACGCCATGTGATGTACCAGGTCAACTCACCTACGTTGGGAATTATGATAACTAATATAGCCGAAG